AGAATGCTTGTTCTATATATTTTTTTTTAATTTACCTTATACTATAATAATTACAATGTATAATAGAGAAATACTTGGTAGACACTGTAAATCACAAAATTATGAGCAATGCAAGATCAACTGAAGTCAAAATATGCTCTATAGCTTGTAGACTGTTGCTCTTTATATATATAGAAATGGTTGCCCTTAAATAAGATTTTTTATACCATCTTTTGTGTTTTGAGCAAACATTTAATTAGATAGAAAGAAATTAAACAGATTAAATGATCCACAAGATATAAAAAAAAGAAAGATTTTTGTCATTCATTCCATTCTCGTCTGCAATGTGGGAGAGTGTCCTTTGTTGAATATGCATTATAGACCTGGCAAGATTAGCAACGCAGGGTCTTTAGAGCCTCTAGTTTTTGTCTTGCCATAGCAAAGTCATGAAGGTGAGACGTAGGTATATTGTTTTTGACAGAGGCGAAATCTTCAAGATTTGTTAAAATTCATTATTTGGTCAGTTTAAAAGGAACCAAGAAATAACTTATGATAAACTTGTCAATAACACTTGTTATGTAGTTGAAGTAAGATATGCACTTCTCATTTCCATGGAGATTATATTGACCAAGAGAAGCATATCAACCTTGGCCTTGTGCACAGTCAATATGCTTCTCTTGGTATAACCCTATATCAACCTCATACAAAGGCTATAATTTTATAATATATGTGTAGTTTTATAAGTTGACAATAAAATAATCACTTATAAAGACAGGTGATTTTTAACTAACATGGGGACATAAGATGGGTACATACGTGTATAATCCTTAAAATTAAAATCAGTAAATTGTAATAAAATCAATGTTTTAATTTCAGAGGTCATTTCTCCACAAAAACAAGCTAAATGTCAATGGGCCTGATGAAATCGAGTTCTTTCTTGGATATTTGGGAGAACTGGAACATATTAGTGATACAGAAAAGGGGGAAATATTACATACATGGACACCAGCATGAGCAAGAAAAGACAAGGTATTATGTTATAAAGTCTATATATATATATAATGTTTAAGTTGTGACCTGAACCAATCAAATTATATCACCAATTAATGAAGTGGGTGGTATATAGAATATACCTTGACCAAATAGACATGTAAACATGTAAAAAAAAACATTGAAAATATATTTTATGATATCCATCGCACTTCCACATAACCACCATAGCAATTCGGCAAAGCTATCAATAAGAAAGTGTCACAATGCCATCATCGCACTTCGGCTTGATCAAAAATGCACTTAATCGTTAAACCTTTGCACATCAGCATGACATTCATGGTTCAGAGTCCTACAGGTTGGATAAAGATATTACTTTTGAATTTCTGTACTCTCAACAACAAAATAGAAATAAAATTGAAAACATAAACAGTTATTTTATAATTTCTAGTCGATTATGAGGGAGTTTATATTAAGTTAGACAAGACACATGAACATGTACCTATATGCCTTAAAAAAGACATGTATAGTATATCAAACAATTAAAACTCGAAAGGTGACAGTTGAGGATATAAAAAGAAATGGTTTCCTTTATTAATGAGTCATTTGAGAAGGAAGAAGATAACTGTTTAAATATGTATTCTGATATAATGTGTTTTTGATGGTTTTTAATAGACATAGATGTTCATGTATCACTGTACATAATATTAACCTTAACTTATTATTTTGCTTGTTTTAAAATAAAGATAAATTGATAGTTGATTGCTGTTATAATAAACTTTGCATCTTGCTTTATTTCAAAATCTGCCATGGGAAGAAACTAGTTTGAAGAAAAAGAAAAAAGATGAAGAAATTGACTTATTTTTGTTACAATATATTTGAAATGTTACATTTTACAAATTTTAAAAATATATTCTTCTACCACAGACAAGAATTTATTATCAATCCTGCAATTTCAAGAAAAACGTGTATGCATAGAAATTGGTTTGAACTTAGGCTGACAGGATTGTTAAGGTGTTCTCAACTTAATAATATGATTTATAAGTGCTCTTCAAAAAATCTTAAAAAAACTGAGGGTCAAAGTGCAAATTATATAGCTGTATATTCTTTATTGATTGAAACATCTGCACTCAGATGAAATGCTCATATGGTGCAATAGAATTGATACCATGAAAGTTTAATTTCAAACGCATAATTCACATAATGACTTATGTTTTGTTCATATATTGTACATGATATTTCTCAAACATACGTTAGACCGCCTCGGTTAGTCTGAGACTGCTTGCCATGAGTGCAGGAGGTTATTATAGGTTCAAACAGGGGCGGAGTCAATGCAAAGACTTGAAAACTGGTATTAGCTGCATCTCTGCTAGGCAAGCATCATTAAATAGTAAGAGCAAAGACTGAATCGACTCGTAGTCAGAACAATGTTTCCAGGTAGGGTGACATGTCTTCCTGCAAATTGTTACTTTGTGAGTTAGCACTTTTAAAATCTGTCTCAGGGTGTCAGTCTAATACAAAGCAGGGTTAGTGCTCATTTCTCATTATTATGATCTCATAACCTGAATATGCATCTGACCTGCCACTGGAAGAAAAGCAACCATCATCCAAACATATGTTTACCATATGGTTTATGAACATGTGTTTACCATATGTTCTCAGACATATGGTTACCATGAACATGCGTTTACCATGTGTTTTCAAACGCATGTTTCACATAAACGCATGTAAACTATACGTTCCCCAAACATGCGTTAAACGTACGGTGCTCCAAACATGCGTTTCTGACATGTTTAGAAACGTACGGTAAATTCCTGGTAAACATGCGTTTACATGCGTTGCATTTTTTGCTGTGTAGGACCAATATCATTCGATCATGTACAAGCATATATTCAATCAATATATGCTCTATTAAGACAGTCTTAAGAATGCCAATCAAGCAATTTTCGGAAGAACAATATTTACAAACAAATATTTGGGATGCAGAAATAAGGCATGTGAATATTTAATAAAAACATGTTTCCAGAAACAACATAAATAGATCATATAAACACGGATATTTAATCAATAGACGGTCTTTTCATGTAGTTTATAAACTGACGTCAGAAAGTCAATAAATGTGCTTGAGGAATAATAATATCAATAAGTAATACTTTGGGATGCAGATATGAGGCATGCTAGTTTATTAATTTCAGTGAAGCTGCACAAGAGTTACCTCTGCTACAGTTTTTGTCAGTAAAAGATGTTTTCGTTATCAGAAAATAAATGAAATATATTTTTGATGCAGATATGAGACATGATAGTATATTAAAAACAGTTGTAAGTTTAAGAGTAACATGTGCCACAGTTTTTGTCAGTAAAACCAGGAGTGCATTGAAAATCATTGACTAGATCAATAAAGTAATTGTTATTCAATCAAATCGTGTTAACCTTATATCTGTTTTACAAATAGATCTAGCACAGCAAGAACCTGTAGACAAATGATTTTTTATTTTGTAACATTAAATAAAAACAGGCAACTGTAATACACACTATTTGTACCACAGTTGTTTGTTGGAAAGCTATTGCACTCATTGTACTTCATCAGCCAAAGTAAATTACCAATGGTGAGAAGCACCTAATTCGAATTCAGGAATTTTCATGTGATTGATACCAATTTATATTTTTATAAGATTGCTAGAAACGTAAATGCATTGTTGTAGAATTTCTCCATCTGTATTTGACAATTTGTCTTCTATATGAACATAATTACTAGGACCAATATCATTCGATCATGTACATGTACGAGCATATATTCAATCAATACATGCTCTTTTAAGACAGTCTAAGAATGCCAATCAAGCAATTTTTGGAAGAACAATATTTACAAACAAATATTTGGGATGCAGAAATAAGGCATGTGATTTTTGTAATACTATAAAGCTGATTAAAAGTAACCTGTGTGCTACAACGTTTGTCAGTAAATCCAAGAAGACATAAACATTGAAAATCATTGACCAGATCAATACATGTTGCGAAATATTGACAGAGGTAAGAAAAGCAATCATCAATATCTCAAATAAACACCAACGTAAGATTTGTACTGTAAAAAATATGAATATTTGAATAGAAATAACGTTCTTTTAAGATTCTTTAACGCACAAAAAGTATCATGCTTTCTAATTATTGTATATATATATATAAACTCATCATAGATACCAGGATTGAAATTTTATATTTACGCCAGACGCGCGTTTCGTCTACAAAGGACTCATCAGTGACGCTCGAATAAAAAAATGTTAAAAAAGGCCAAATAAAGTACGAAGTTGAAGAGCATTGAGGACCAAAAATTCCTAAAAGTTTTGCCAAATACAGCTAAGGTAATCTATTCCTGAGGTAGAAAAGCCTTAGTATTTCAAAAATTCAAAGTTTTGTTAACAGTTAATTTATAATTATGAACATATCAATGGTAACTCAAGTCAACACAGAAGTGCTGACTACTGGGCTGGTCATACCCTCGGGGAATTAAAACTCCACCAGCAGTGGCATCGACCCAGTGGTTGTAAATAAACTCATCAAAGATACCAAGATTGAAATTTTATATATATATGTTATGCTCATTGTTAATCGGCATTAACTTATGCTGCAATACATATTACTGTTGATATAGGCGGATGCTTTTTTTCAAACCATAAATTAAAATATTACAAAATGTATAATTGTAACTATGATGAAAATCACCTAATATGAATTGGGAATTTTTTATTTCATTTACATCCATTCTTGTCCCATTACAAGTGCTAGAAGTATTATTACTTTTTAGTAGGCCTCCTGGATCCGTACATTTGTATTTTGACAATCTGTTGTGTATATTAGCAAGAACAAAACAAATAGATCACATAAAGAAACAAAGATTTTTAAGACAGATTATAATTTGCAGTAAGAAAGTCGCTAGAGTTGTTTTCAGAATAATAATAAAAGCAAATGTATTTTGGGATGTTGATATCAGTCATGATAGTATATTTGTGACATTGAAGCAGCTTAAGAGTTACCTGTAGTACAGTTTTTGTCAGTAAATCCAGGAGAACATATGCATTGAAAATCATTGACCAGATCATTACAGGTTCCGCAATGTTCACATGGGTTAGGAAAGCAATCATTGATATCTGAAATGAACGCCAAAGCAAGACTTATTAGCTATAGTGTATAAGGTAAAACGCTTGTTTTAATTCAGTGGCATTGTGTTCAACTTTTATTTGTTTTATAAATAGATCTAGTGTTTTAGGACAACAAACACCTTTAGACAATTGATTTTTTATTTGGTTAGATAAATCAAACAGAGAACGGTATTATAAACTGGTTGTTAAAACAGTTTTTGTTGATAAAAAGCTTTTGAACTCAGTTTCCTAAAGCTCTTTTTAGCCAAAAAAATAGCCAATGATGAAAAGCACATAATTTACATGCAGGAATTTACATGTATTTTTTTTTTATTCAATTTATATTCGAATGCATAAGCAAAAGCATAAACGCGTTTCAGTAGATCTTTTCGATCTGTATTTGACAATTTCTCGTCTATATGCACATATTTCCATAAACAACATCTTAAATAGATCATATAAACATGGATATTTAATCAATACACGGTCTTGTCATGTAGTTTATAAACTGACCTCAGAAAGTCAATAAATGTGCTTGAGGAATAACAATATCAATAAGTAATACTTAGGGATGCAGATATAAGGCATGCTAGTTTATTAATTTCAGTGAAACTGCACACGACTTACCTCTGCTACAGTTTTTGTCAGTAAATCCAGGAGGACATATGCATTGAAAATCATTTACTAGATCATTACAGGTTCCGCCATTTTCACATGAGGTAGGTAAGCATTCATTGATATCTGAAATGAACGCAAACGCAAGATTGTTGACTTTAGTGTATAAGGTAGAACAATTGTTTAAATTAAGCAGCATCCTTTTATTTATTTTTATAAATAAATCTAGATCTTGGACAATAAAAACCTGTACACAACTGTTTGCTTGTTTGGTAAGATTAAATTAAACACAGAACGGTTTTATAAACTAGTTTTAAGACATTATTTTGATAGAAAGCTATTGGACTTAATATTGTCAAGCCCTTTTTCAGCCAAATTAAATGACCAAATGAGAAGCACCTAGTTCCCCTTTATTAATTACATGTAAATTTCACCAATGCATTTTCCAAAACATGAGCAAAAAGCATAAACGCGTTTCAGGGTTAATTCTATATCTGTACATTTTTGTATTTGACATTTCGTCGTCAATGTAAACATATTACTAAGAACTAGGTTTTTAGGAATAATAAATTCAACAAGTAATATTTTGAGATTCAAATGATATTTGTTTCAGTAAAACTGCTTAAGAGTTAGTTACCTGCGCTACAGTTTTTTTCAGTAAATCCAGGAGGACATATGCATATAATATCATTGACCAGATCAATACAGGTTCCGCCGTGTGCACATGGATTAGGTAAGCAATCATCGATATCTGAAATCAACGCCAAAGCTAGACTTATTAACTATTGTTTTTAAGGTAGAGCAATAGTTGTAATTCAGTAGCATCGTGTTCACTTTTTTTGTGTTTTTTTTAATAAATCTAGGATAGCAAATACTGGTAGACAACTGATGTTCTGGTTCCTCAGATAAATCAAAATGAGAACGGTAAAATAAACAATGCAAGTTGTTAAACAGTTTTTGTTAGAAAGCTGTTGGACACCTAGTTTCTAAAGCACAATATCAGCCAAAATCAATTGCCATTGGTGAGAACCACCTAGTTCACTGTCAGGAATAACATGTAATTATCATAAATCTATTTTCCAAACATGAGCAAAAAGCATAAACACGTTTCAGGGTAACTGTTATTTTTGTATTTGACATTTAGTCGTCTATGTGAACATCAAATTTATTCGTTCATTGTGTGTTTATTTGTGTCACTTCGTTTTTTGATTGAGTTAATTAAGTCATTCCAATTGATATTTTATAGTGTGTCTTTCTATGTTGTGATGTTATACTACTGTTTCAGAAAAGGGAGAAGGTTTGGTACCATTAAGCGTTCAATCCCGCTGCAATTGTTTGCACCTGTCCTAATTCAGGAATCTGATGTTCAGTGGTTGTCGTTTTGTTTCTGTGGTTCATAAGTGTTTCTCGTTTTTTATATATATTAGACCGTTGATTTTTCCGTTTGAATGGTTTTACACTATTAATTTGTGGGGCCCTTTATAGCTTGCTGTTCGGTGTGAGCCTAGGCTCCGTGTTGAAGACCGTACCTTGACCTATAATGGTTTACTTTTATAAATTGTGACTTGGATGGAGAGTTGTCTCATTGGCATTCATACCACATCTTCCTATATCTATATGTATTTTCGAAAACATGAGCAAGAAGCATAAACTCGTTTCAGGGTAATTTTTATTTCTGTATTTGACATTTAGTCGTCTATGTAATATGTTGGTTTATTTATTTATGTGAAGAGAACAGAGAACTGTAATACAAACTAGTTGTAAAACGCGTTTTTTTGTTTGTTTGAATAGATGTTAGATTCGTATCCAAAAGCACTTTTTAAACCAATTATAATGGCCAATGATAAAAAGCGCTTAATTCAAATTCTCGAATATATATGTGATTTGCACGCTTTTGTATTCTTATACATGACCAAGAAGCATACATTCGTTTCAGTATAACTTTACGATGTGTATTTGACAATTCGTGTTCTATATGAACATATAACTGGGAACAAAATAGATACATGTTGGTCACTGAAACACGGTTATTTAATCAATACACATTCTTTTGAGGAAGTCGAGCATCTAGAGTAAGATGGTCAATAAAGGTGTTTTATGAATTACATTTTCAACAAGTAATATTTTGAGATGCAGATATGAGACATGATAGTTTATTTGTTTCAGTGAAGCTGCATAAGAGTTACCTGTAGTACAGTTTTTGTCAGCAAATCCAGGAGGACATATGCATTGAAAATCATTTACCAGATCATTACAGGTTCCGCAATGTTCACATGGGTTAGGAAAGCAGTCATTGATATCTAAAATGAAGACCAAAGCAAGACTTATTAACTATAGTGTATAAGATAGAACGGTTGTTTTTAATTCAGTAGCCACACGTTCATCTTTTATTTGTTTTATAAATACAATAGATATAGTGTTCTAGGACAACAAACATCTTTAGACAATTGATTTTTTATTTGGTAAGATAAATAAAACAAAGAACGGTAATATAATTTGGTTGTTAAACAGTTTTTGTTGATAAAAAGCTATTGAAGTCAATATCCTTAAGCTCTTTTTAAGCCAAAAAAAAAAAACCAAAATGGCTTATGGTGAAAAGCACATAATTCACATTCAGGAATCTACATGTACTTTTCTTTATTCAATTTATATTCTAATCCATAAGCAAAAAGCATAAATGCGTTTCAGTACAACTTTTTGATCTGTATTTGACAATTTCTTGTCTATATGAACATGTTTCCAGAAACAACATAAATATATCATATAAACACGGATATTTAATCAATACACGGTCTTTTCGTGTAGTTTATAAACTGAAGTCAGAAAGAAAATAAATGTGCTTGATGAATAACAATATCAGTAAGTAATACTTTGGGATGCAGATATGAGGCATATTAGCTTATTTATTTTTAGTGAAGCTACCTGTATTTAAGAGTTACCTGTGCTACAGTTTTTGTCAGTAAATCCAGGAGGACATATGCATTGAAAATCATTGACTAGATTACTACAGGTTGCGCCATGTTCACATGGGTTAGGAGAGCATTCATTGATATCTGAAATGAATGCAAAAGCATGATTAGTATAATTCAAAATCAGGAATTAAAATTTCAATTACACCTTTCCATACCCTAAAACAAGTGCAACAGTTATAAAAGCGTTTCAGTATACCTACCCAAGGTATACTTTGCCCATCCGTCTTCTATATGAACATATTAACATGCAAACAAATATATATATCACATAAACCCGAATATTAAATCGACAAAAAAATGTAAGGGCTGTTTGTTACATAGCAGAATAAAGTTCTTTATAGGTTTTTATGAAACAACAACATGACCAGAATCATTTTGAATGCAGATATGAGGCACACTATATAAGTAATGACAGTAATTCTACTTTATAGTTAGTTACCTGTGCTACAGGTTTTGTCAGTAAATCCAGGAAGACATACGCATTCAAATTTGTTGATCGTATCATTACAGGTAGCGTTATTATAACATGGGTTAGATAAGCACTCATCAATATCTGAAATGAAAATCAGAGCCAGATCAAATATAGTGTATAAGTAAGAAACACTGATGGTATTTAAAGGTCTTTATTTCGCAATACGTTCGTATCATGAATTTTTCGTGGAAAACAAGGAACTTGTAGACAACGATTTATGTATTACCTCACATACATCAAATAGAGAACGAAGTTAAAAACTAGTTGGAAATCAGTGCCTTATTTGAATGCTATTCAAAGCAATATCCGAAGGCAAAATGCAGTCATAAACCTTATTAAATTGGCACGGTCGTTTGTGATTTACATGTGTTGCAAGTTATATCATTATATCCAGATGCATAGACACAATCAACACATACATTTGTTCGTATCGATGCAGGTTACATTTTGTCAAATAGGATATATAATCATCAGCAAAACGTTGATAGGTTCAGTCAAATTAGAAACCAAACGTGTTCTTTTTTAAATGTCATATATCGTTCATGCTGATTGCAGATTGACATTGACCAATGCTTTATTATTTGCCACTGTAAACAGAAGCAGACGTAACTTATCAAGTTGATACATCATTTCATAGTAACATGAATCATTTAAACAATGATGAAAAGAGTATGACTCCAAATCAGGAACTAACATGTCATTTACACCTTTTAATATTAAAAAAAGTGCAACCGTTATAAAAGCGTTTCAGTATACCTACTCAAGGTATACTTTGTCCATCCGTCTTCCATATGAACATATTAACATGCAAACAAGTATATATATCACATAAACCCGAATATTAAATCGACAAAAAATGTTTAGGGCTGTTTGTTAAATAGCAGAACAAAGTTCTTCATAGATTTTTATGAAACAACAGCATGAACAGAATCATTTTGAATGCAGATATGAGGCACAATATATAAGTAATGACAGTATTTCTGCTTTATAGTTACCTGTGCTACAGGTTTTGTCAGTAAATCCAGGAAGACATACGCATTGAAAATCGTTGATCGTATCATTACAGGTAGCGTTATTATAACACGGGTTAGATAAGCACTCATCAATATCTGAAATGAAAATCAGAGCCAGATCAAATATAGTGTATAAGTAAGAAACACTGATGGTATTTAAAGGTCTTTATTTCGCAATACGTTCGTATCATGAATTATTCTTTGAAAACAAGGATCTTGTAGACAACGATTTATGTATTACCTCACATACATCAAATAGAGAACGAAGTAAAAAACTAGTTGGAAATCAGTGCTTTGTTTGAATGCTATTCAAAGCAATATCCGAAGGCAAAATGAAGTCATAAACCTTATTAAATTGGCACGGTCGTTTGTGATTTACATGTGTTGCAAGTTATATCATTATATCCAGATGCATAGACACAATCAACACATACATTTTTTCGTATCGATGCAGGTTACATTTTGTCAAATAGGATATATAATGATCAGCAAAACGTTGATAGGTTCAGTCAAATAAGAAACCAAACGTGTTCTTTTTTAAATGTTATATATCGTTTATGCTGATTGCAGATTGACATTGACCAATGCTTTATTATTTGCCACTGTAAACAGAAGCAGACGTAACTTATCAAGTTGATACATCATTTCATAGTAACATGAATCATTTAAACAATGATGAAAAGAGTATGACTCCAAATCAGGAACTAACATGTCATTTACACCTTTTAATATTAAAAAAAGTGCAACCGTTATAAAAGCGTTTCAGTATACCTACTCAATGTATACTTTGTCCATCCGTCTTCCATATGAACATAATAACATGCAAACAAGTATATATATCACATAAACCCGAATATTAAATCGACAAAAAATGTTTAGGGCTGTTTGTTAAATAGCAGAACAAAGTTCTTCATAGATTTTTATGAAACAACAGCATGAACAGAATCATTTTGAATGCAGATATGAGGCACAATATATAAGTAATGACAGTATTTCTGCTTTATAGTTACCTGTGCTACAGGTTTTGTCAGTAAATCCAGGAAGACATACGCATTGAAAATCGTTGATCGTATCATTACAGGTAGCGTTATTATAACACGGGTTAGATAAGCACTCATCAATATCTGAAATGAAAATCAGAGCCAGATCAAATATAGTGTATAAGTAAGAAACACTGATGGTATTTAAAGGTCTTTATTTCGCAATACGTTCGTATCATGAATTATTCTTTGAAAACAAGGATCTTGTAGACAACGATTTATGTATTACCTCACATACATCAAATAGAGAACGAAGTAAAAAACTAGTTGGAAATCAGTGCTTTGTTTGAATGCTATTCAAAGCAATATCCGAAGGCAAAATGAAGTCATAAACCTTATTAAATTGGCACGGTCGTTTGTGATTTACATGTGTTGCAAGTTATATCATTATATCCAGATGCATAGACACAATCAACACATACATTTTTTCGTATCGATGCAGGTTACATTTTGTCAAATAGGATATATAATGATCAGCAAAACGTTGATAGGTTCAGTCAAATAAGAAACCAAACGTGTTCTTTTTTAAATGTTATATATCGTTTATGCTGATTGCAGATTGACATTGACCAATGCTTTATTATTTGCCACTGTAAACAGAGGCAGACGTAACTTATCAAGTTGATACATCATTTCATAGTAACATGAATCATTTAAACAATGATGAAAAGAGTATGACTCCAAATCAGGAACTTACATGTCATTAACACCTTTTATTACTAAAAAAAGTTCAACAGTTATAAAAGCGTTTCAGTATACCTACTCAATGTATACTTTGCCCATCCGTCTTCCATATGAACATAATAACATGCAAACAAGTATATATATCACATAAACCCGAATATTCAATCGATACAAAATGTTCAGGGATGTTTGTTAAATAGCAGAAAGAAGTTCTTTATAGGTTTTTATGAAACAACAGCATAAACAAAATCATTTTGAATGCAGATATGAGGCACAATATATAAGTAATGACAGTAATTCTACTTTATAGTTACCTGTGCTACAGGTTTTGTCAGTAAATCCAGGAAGACATACGCATTGAAAATCGTTGATCGTATCATTACAGGTAGCGTTATTATAACATGGGTTAGATGAGCACTCATCAATATCTGAAATGAATATCAGAGCAAGATATATTAAATAAACTCATCTTAGATACCAGGATTGAAATTTTATATTTACGCCAGACGCGCGTTTCGTCTACAAAAGACTCATCAGTGACGCTCGAATAAAAATATAGTGTATAAGTTAGAAACATTGTTGTTATTTAAAGGCATTAATTCAGCAATAAATTGTTAACATGACTATTTTTAGAAAACACTGAACCTGTATACAACGAATTAGTAATTGCTTCACATAAACCAAATAGGGGACAGAGTTCAAAACAAGATGAAAACATTTTTTTTTTCAAATCAGTTCAGACATAAACCAAATTAAATAGACACGGTCGGTTATGATTTACTACATTTAGCGACATACTTCTGTTGCTTTTATTTAATATTTTGCAATGTCAAAATCATAAACAAAGTTAAACTTACAATACAGATATATAGACCATTATTCATATGGCTTATATAATATTGAATGCATTTGAATAGACTATTTTCATATTACCGAATTTTGACTCACGATTAAACCATTGTTCGACAGGTTACCTTTTATGTGGTAAGACATTCTGGTATCATGGCAAGTACGCGCAAAGTAAAGAAGTAAATTCAAGCTTTCAAATTGTACAATTTTGTGGAAAAATTAACTCCTTTATATTTTCTTTACACACAAAATCATCGGAAAACAGTAAACTTTCCCTTCAAATTACACTGATTATATGTTTGATTTGACTTATTTTGGTTGTTCTCACTTTGCCGAGTGCCAGTATGTCCAACCATAGAAGGGTAACCTGTTCAGGAAATATATTATCCGGAGTCAACAGTCGGTAATATGAAATCATCTTTTTACAACTTTAATTTAGGAACTAATGAAGAAGCTTAACACAATTTCCTTTAACTTATATTATTATTATTAGATCTTTTCCGTTTTTGTTTTTTACCAATTGAACTCACTTATTTCACAGTTCTCTCCAGTATACCCTGTCACACAATCACAAGTGTAATTGTTAACTCCATCTGTGCAGCTACCTCCATTTTTACATGGATTGGATTCACATTCGTTAATATCTGGGAAATAGTATTGCTTTCATTAGAAATATAGATAAATTACTGATCGAAAACAAAACTCTGATTGTCCTACAACGCGGTTATAAATGTTATGAATTAGATTATGATTGCACTTTGTTAATGTCATTAATGCAGATCTGAATGAAATGACGACACGTTTAGCAGTTTTGGATCAATATGCATAAGCACATAAATAATCAAAAGAACTATACGAATTCTGAACTATGCATATTTCCTTATGTGTTTTATTTACTCTGTCACATAATGTTGATATTTCAGTGGTATTCTTAACATTACCATAACATGCATAATACTAGGTTCAACCAACAATTTTCTTTAAGTGTTTTGTATCAGGTCAAGAATGTGTCAGCTGTTATCGAATAGCCCTTATCTATGAATGTTGACGTTGTTTTTGTTGCAGTTCAGAGTTTCTGTTGTTCCGTTGTTGTCTTCTTACAGTTTATGCGTTCCCCGCTTTTAGTTTATAACCTAGAATGTTTTTAGCCTGATCGCCTAACATATTTGGTACGGCTTTTATGATGAATATCAGTTGACAACTTTAATTTAGGAACTGATAAAAGAAACCACAAACAAATAGCTATAACGTAAATAAATTATTATTATTATTATTTTTTTTCTCCGTTTGTTGTTTGAAACAATAGAACTTACCCGTTTCACAATTCTTTCCAGAATACCCTGGGACACAATCACAAGTATAATTATTGTCTCCATCTGTACAAATACCTCCATTTTCACATGGGGTGGAGGCACACTCGTTAATATCTGGAAATAAGTATTGCATCCGTACTTATAAAGACATATAATTGATCGAATACCAAAATCTGTCTATGCACTTAAAGAACAATGCAAATTCTGAACTTTGAATATATTGCTAAACATTAAAAAACATTCAAATTTGAAATATACAAAGTATAACATTAAGTAAAGGGACGTTCAGGCAGCGTTTTCTAGTCATTACGTTAAGACAGTCAAACTAGAATTTATAATGCATAAGCCCGTTTCTAATTTTAAATTGTAATAGAAAATCATAATTTTTGTTATAAAACGTTCTACCCGGTTCGGATAAATAATATTAATCTTGATCCCAATTGCATTTAAGAGTTTCATTTTCATAATTTTCAATGGATTATCCAAATGTGACAAATGACAAATGAATTAAGTATGACTGAAATTATTTGAGAATTAAAGCTGCAAACTTTAAAAAAAGATAGTGCTATATGATGTCAATAATACACTACGACAGATTAAACAAGGCAATTTTTTAAAACATGAAATAAAGCAGACGACATAAATTATTATGTTCGATTGGTTGTCGAATGAGTTCGATGATGGATTTTGTCGATATATTAAATTGTTATGCCGAATGTTCATAGATGCACAAATAGGATGGAATAAAATTAACACTAAATACAGTTGTACCTGTTGTCGTTGGAATATAAGTTGTTAATGGAGTAGACGTTGGTGTTATTGTTGTTGGAGTTGTAATCTCAGTTTTGACTGGAGTAGTAGTCTTTGTTGTTGTCGAAGTAGTAGGTGTTGTAGGAGTGGTAGTTTGTGTTGTTTTTGTTGTTGCTGCTGTTGAAGAATAAGTCATTGTTATAGGAAGACCAAATCCTGGTGTTGTTGTAGTATCAGTAATTGCTGTTGTTTGAATGAAAGTTGTTTTATAAAGAGTAGATCCTGGTGTTGTTGTAGTATCAGTCATTGCTGTTGTTGGAATGGAAGTTGTTATATGAAGAGTAGATCCTGGTGTTGTTGTAGTATCAGTCATTGCTGTTGTTGGAATGACAGTTGTTATAGGAAGAGTAGATCCTGATGCTGTTGTAGTATCAGTCATTGTTGTTGTTGGAATGACAGTTGTTATAGGAAGAGTAGATTCTGGTGTTGTTGTAGTATCAGTCATTGCTGTTGTTGGAATGGAAGTTGTTATATGAAAATTAGATCCTGGTGTTGTTGCAGTATCAGTCATTAGTGTTTTTAGAATGTTTGTTGTTGTTCTTGTTTTAGTACTAATCTTGTCTGTTGATGGAATAGTATTTGTTGTTGTTGGAATAGAAGTAGTTGTAGGAGTAGTAGTCATTTTTGTTGTAAGAGTAGTAGTTTCTGGTGATGTTGCTGGAATATGAGTCATAACTGGAACAGTATTCGGTGTGTGAGATGAATTCGTTGTTAAATCATAATCAGATGTTGAAGAATCAGTCATGATTGAATTAGAATATGTTGATTGCTGTATTATCGTTGTGCCGTTTCCATTTACTATGTCTAAAAGCCCTGTGCATAATAAAGACAAGCATATATGTATGAATATGCATGTAATACATGTTGTAACAAAAAAAGGGTAAGAATTCAAGAATCATATACACGACTAATTTTGATATTAAAGGATATTTACAAGGATTGTTATACATATTCTATTATTGAATCAGATCGCCTTGTTATTTACCTGATTGTTATCGGTTTAAGTCGTTTCAACTTCATAAGAATGTCGAAATTATGCGTAATGAAAGCAATTTCTTGTACGCGTTTCGTGTTTGTTATCAACATATTATGCTCAATTGGTAAACATTTGAATCAATGTGTTTGAAGATCGATTCTGTCAATATGTTAAATTGATGTGCCAAAAAAAAAGTAAATTTAAAAAAATACTGAACTCCGAGAAAATTTCAAAACGGAAAGTCCCTAATCAAATGGCAAAATCAAATGATAAAACACATCAAACGAATGGACAACAACTGTCATATTCCTGACTTGGTACAGGCATTTTCAAATGTAGAAAATGGCGGATTGAACCTGGTTTTATAGCGCTAAACCTCTCACTTGTATGACAGTCGCACCAACTTCAAATATATTTACAACGATGCGTGAACAAACCAGACGTCATAGGTAAAATTGTCAAACTAGGGGTACAGCAGTCATCACCGTGTCACAATCTCAATCAGAACAAAAAAAAACAAAACAAATATTTAACAAAGAAGCACAAAAAAGCATATATCAAATTTAACAACCACGTTCATTGTTTAGTTATATTTGTATTTCAAATCAACCCATAAAGGATTGAAAATGTTCATTGATGCATACTAAGAATGTTATAAAATAACACTAAATATAGAAGATAGAAAGGGATGGAATAAAAATGCATATTCACTGTAAATATGTCATGTTCTCTTTGTGATATTTTGAATATAGTACCCTTATTCTGACCGGACGTTGTCAAGTATTTGTACATCCCAAAGAAAAGACGAATGCGTTCAAAGCTGCAGTTGTAGCTTTACAAAAAATGTTTGCTTGAGTTATTTGTAAAACAATTAAAAAAATACTTGTAGATTCGGAAACTTGTCAATCTTTAAATACTGTTATGCAAAGGTGTGCTCCTTGTTGTTGGTACGTTGTTTCCTTGTTGTGTACACTTTTACTTTGTTTTCATTGTTTATCCATTAATATTAAGATATATATAGGTAATATATTATAATGCAATACATCAATTTTGAAACAACAGTAGCAGACACAAAAACATATTGATATGCCGCTTTAAACTTTCCATGCAAATACAACTTACATATTTGGGTTACCAGAACGGATAGGACTACAGATTCTATAAAATGCATCCTTATCTAAGAAAAAATAAATAAGTTTATGATATGAAAAACAAAAAAAAAGGTTTATCATCGATGATTATATCAAACTGATAACGAAGATCATGTTATTCTTGTTACTTTTTCCTCCTAAATCAATGGGGGTGCACCATACCCCTTATAGCCAGAGCCTTTATATTTGATAATTATAATACTATATTAAGCTTTAGGCCAAACCAATTTAATTTCTTGTTCTACTGATTTTTTCCACTCGGAAAATTGGGGCGAGCGAGAGATTTTAATAAAAAGAAATTGAAGCGAAGCTTGAAAACTAAATGCAACCGATTATTTTTTTTTTTTGTAAACACAAAATCATAGGTTCTGACAACATCGATCAACCAAGATGGTATAACACTTGATTTACCACTTGTGCTTAGACATTTCTTTACTGCTGAAGTGTTGTGTTCCCTGTTCACAAAGACATGTAATGCCCACTTTTAATTGCAGCATTATTATGTCTTTTTGTATTTGGGAGCAACCGTTTAGCTTAAAAAACATGATAACATTACAATTGACTAACTGTTACTCATATTTAGCTGTATATAATAGAAATCAAACACAATATTATTTTGTGATCTCTTACCTTCGCCGGATAAAATACAAAAGTCCCCTGTAGTGTTGATCTATGTAGAAAGATAAGCTCAGACGATCTTAAAACATCTCATAAAACTTGAACGTATTGATTCTATTTACACTCTATATATATATTATCTTTTATTATCTTTTATTATACATATTTTGAAATAGATAACCCATTTAAATATCAATACTTAATCTACATAGGTATTCTGATAGATATAATTTAAACTGTTTGTAATGTTGGTGCTTGTTATGGTTGACTTGTTATAGGTTCGTTCTTTTATGTGGACTGCAAGTTCTTTTTATTTCAAATCATGCCACATCTCGTTTTTATTTACCGTGAAGACTGTTACGGTGAATTACCTTAAGTTTCATGTATCTGCAATTTATTTCATAATGATCCATAATATTTTTCATGCACAATACCTCTCTAAAGTTAAGTACATATCTTACTTATTTTATATCTCTTGTCATAGATCACCAATTCAGATCATATTCTAATAAATAAATACATATATCTCAAATATATTACGTTTATTTCACTTGGCAATGCATCTTTCTTTAGTTCAGATTATACGTTTCCTTAGAAATGTGTATCTACAATTTTCTTAGCATTTTGTATCTTTAATATATCTTAAAATAGTCAATGATAGACATCGTATCCTTTTATTATTTAGTTCACTTTCTAAATTAAGATGATAACTGATAAGCGTAATATGAGAGCAACCAAACGACAAAAATATCCAAAAGCTTACGGTAAATAATCACTACTCATCATTAGGCAGGTGTATTTTATAAATTTGTCAACTATGTAGTTTTGAATATAGTTGTAAATCATAATTGAACAGATTGCACGAAGTATGATACTGATGCAGCGACACTTTGTAACATGCCAATAAGGGGAATTTCCAGGCAAGACGGTTTCACAGATTTGTACTAATTAGTAAACCAGAGGAATGCAACATTCAACGCATGTTCCATATTAGGAAAAACTGGAAGATAATTAATATCCCGTTAAAATATTGTTTGCAAAATGTCATGCACATCTTCTTGATTCTTGCAGTACAGAGTTATGAATAAATGATACGATCATATTTCAAGAAAGGTGATTGTTAAATTCTTCTGATATCACCACTCCACAAAACCAAAGATCGACATGATAAAAAAGGTTCGAGTGTCTTAAATTATCAATGATTTTAACGTTGTAATGATTACTGGTTGCTTGTCAAGCTTCTTTCTTCGTTGACAGTGCAATCTTCATTTAGAACCCTGTGTTTTACCGGAATATACATTAAACAGTTTATCTGTAAATGTAAGGATAGACAATTATGTTGATGAGCTTTTCTTACCTGAGATTGGACTTCCTCATTCTAGAATGAACCCTTGACATTTTGCTAGTCTACTTTGGATGCTTTCACTTGTTTATTTGGTGTGCCTAAATTGTGTAATTGTACGTAAAATTATGCTGAACATTTTCGATTAATTCTTTCCTGATTAATTGGGTGTTTTGTTAAGACCCATATTTCAAATTTGTTCAACGTTTAATATTACTGTCTTTGAACATAAAAAGTTGGCATAAGCCCGTCACAAGCAAGTAGCTTGTAAATAAGTCAGTGACTGTCGTAGGCTGCTATATGTCATTTGTTTTTAAATTTTGTTGAGTATTTTAGTATAAACCGTAGTTTTTTACGTTTGCATTATTTTACATTTTTTCATGTCAGGGTCATAGCAAAATGTAAATATACGGAAAAAACCTCCTAAAGCAACCTTATAGATTTACTGAATTATATGCTAGTTAAACGTTTTATTTCAATTTCACATTGTCAAGCGTATTCAGGACGAGCACAAAATTACAACAAATAGAACAGGCACATGTACATGTAGGTTCTGAAATAGGCGGGACACAACATGCAAAGGAAAATGAGACAGTAATTTTGATTTGCAACAGGAAACATACGAACACCCCAAAAAGTTTTTGCAAGGACACTCGCCCTAAACAAAGCATACGATTTGACATTTTCACTCTAACCTGACAAGATCTCGAATTTTGAATCCTTCACTGCCAAGAAAACATATCAGCTGATGACCATACGTCTTAACTCAAGTCCCCCCTTTGGGACTGAGAATTACTGAGTTATATTTTGTCGGATTCGATAATTGACTGTATTAGTGACAATAATCTGTCTACGTTAACACTTCTAACATTTGGGCTGGTATACTAGCTTTCATGTGCATAACAACAAAATGTAAGCATGGCCCAACTCAGGAGCCTGTGATTCAATTGTTTTTCTCTTGTTGCTTTGTATCATATTTGTTTTTCTTTCATTATTTTTTACTTACTATTAAAAAAGGCTGTCAGTTTTATCGTTTGAATTGTTTATAGTTTGGGGTCTTTTATAGATAACAATGCTGTATGGATTTTGCTCATTCTTGAAGGTCGTACGGTGACCGATAGTTCTTATTTTCTGTATCATTTGGTCTCTTGTAGAGAGTTGTCTCATTGACAATCATACCACATCTTCTAATTATTGTACAAACTGTAAATTGGCGATACAAAATATATTGCTACCAGTAAAACAAATACAAATAGTAAACACGGTATAGTTTTTTTAACTCCGACAAGAAATGCTAGTTAAAAAGCCAAATTGAATCGTCATCGTAACTTAACGAATAATTATAAGTATGAACGCTTTCTGTCACACGGAATAAATAGGCATTCCTTTACAACTGCCATAGTGCTTCAATAATTATCATTTTGGCCAAGGTCAAAATGTATTCCTAAGAGTTGTCAAATAAAACAATAAGAGTGTTCAATGATCAACAGAATACGATGACACACCATCCTACGAAGTGTCACACATTTGTTTTGCAAATTGTTTCAAGGAATGATTGTGCCCAGACGGACGCACGGACAGATAGACGAACAAAGACTCTCTGTAGCTGATTTCGAGAGTCCAGGGATAACAAATTTGAAAAAAAAAGGTTTAACTGTGTTGCCATTAAATGTAATTACTTAGTTGATGCTAAATCTGGAAGACTCTGTTTGATAAACTTTATACTTTAAAATTTTTGCCACTGATTATATTGTTTTTCTTTCTCTCTCGTTAGTTTATGGTTTTGTCGTTATAATGTTTCGTGTAAAAAAGAGTGCCATTCGGATTCTTTAAAGGGTTAGTAGGTAGCCTGTTGCAAACCAAAATGTCTATTCCTATCACATTGTATCATATAAGCCCAAAACTTCCAGGGCAGTCAAAATTTTTGTGAACTTCATTTCATATAGGGAAACCAAATATGCGTACATGCACCAGGCATTGCAATGGTTACATTGTCGTTATATTAAATCGTAATTTTTAATAATGAACTAAGATGTATAAACCAGGTACCGAATGTAACGCAATATAGACAGAAACATATCTATAATGGTGAAAGATTCGCATACAGGTTTATATGTTGTTCCTTATGACGTACTTATGACACTTTAAAGAGCCATGTGATTTTTTTTCATAATGATTTAATAACTGTGAATCTTCTACGAGGTACAAATGCACAGTTGTCACAACAAAAATTTCGCAAGATATGGCATGCAAGAGTATTAGTCGAGTGACATTGACAATAAATTATATTTGTATTGCACCGACCTATTATACGGCTAAGTTACATGTATATACCATTCGAAAGAATATCAATTGTACAATCTTTTTGTTTGCCCTCTTGTACATTTTATATAGAGCATTTGAGGGTTCAGGCAGGCATGGTATACATTTTGAAAAAACAAAAACAAAATATATTGCTCCAAACATTAAATTTTTCAGGTTTTATCATGTTGATCGATCGCTTACTTCTAACGGGGAACAGAGACAACTTTGTATAATCATCAGACTTAGGATCTTCAACGTTTGAAAGATTTCAGACGTCCTGGATGGGCTAAAAACACTCCAATTTATGAATTGAATTATTCAAATATTTTGACTCATAAAAATGTTTTTCATAGGAAATCATAACTAATATGTATATATCAGATATCAAACATACAGCAGCCATTTTTTAGAGTAGATGGTATCGTTAATGGGCTCAGTCATGATAGTTAGATAAAAAGATAAGTACATATATGTTACAGACAACTTAAGAAAAGCGGAATATTTATAACCCATCTACATCTATTTTACGATTCATTCTTATAATACCTCCTTGAAATTAAACCCCGTTAATACAGTTGACATTTAACTATATATAGAATGAGACATAGTACTCATTTCACTACAGTATATGTGCCAAAAAGATATGTAAAACATGTCATCATACTCTCCAAGCATATAAGTTAAAGCAAACAATAACAAAATGTTTTTACATGTTGAAGAGAACTATGTTAGAATATTCATATGAACAATTTTTGTAGCTTTTGTTCGTTCGCCGTATGATTTGGCCACCGAAAACTATCAATTTTTTTTCCTGTCAATATGTATTGTAAGTAAACAGTAGCTCCATTTCTAATGACCCAGTTGTGTTGCAATTGTCCCTGGATGTCGGCTGTTGATATAATTAAATGATACCTTCATCGATATATTTCTATAAAAATCTGGAAATGTACAAATGTATTATGGTTGTCAATGAGACAACTACCCACCAGAGTTGAGATGAAGTGGGTATTAGCAAGTATAGGCCATTGCACATCCATCAAGCATGATAACAAAATCAGTAGTCGTCTTTAAACAGGTCCAGACATGAAAAAATAAAAATTATTTAAACAAAACACTGATAATCTCATTTATAACAAAGCACGAAAAAAATAATTAGATAGTCATAAACCAATAGTAAACACTTAACTGCAACTTAGGAACATTATGAAAAGAATTTATACATTAATACTATTATATGTCTCGGCTGCCAAGACCTACCTTTCTAAAGAATATTTCATCAATGTAATTGGTGATAATTATTTAGCAAAACCAATAATTATTGTACTTCAAACATTTTACTATACATACCTACTAAAATAGTATAATGTATTACTTATCACTTGCACCTCAGGGATGCATCTGATAAGTAATAGTAAGAGTTAAGTAGGACGTCAATTTTTTCACTGAACTAGTACATACTTTTGTTAAAGGACCAGCTGAAGTCCGCCTCCGGGTGCGGGATTTTCTTGCTGCGTTGAAACCCATTGGTGGCATTCGGCTGTTTTACTCTTTGGTCGGGTTATTGTCTCTTTGACACATTCCCCAGTGCCATTCTCTATTTTATGACATTATAAACAGTATTTTTACGACTTAGCATTTAAGATAAGATACATGTATAAAACAATTATGCTCACTCTTTTGATTCAGGAACTATTTTTTAGTTGTTTTAGTGTTTGTCAATCCAAAAGTTGTAATTTTTGCAGATTCTACATGTTTTTGTACGGTGCATTACATTTGCGCTTCTACTTTCTTAAATTTTGAAATAAATACTTTGAGTAACAACATGAATAAGTGTATACGACAAAAGCTGAACAGCGTTCAGACGTCATCTAGGAATCTCAGTAACAAACTACAGTTACCAGCTTGTCCAACTGTAACAGGCTCTAAAACAACAAATCACAACTGCTTAATGTCAAATCATTCATTATTTGTATCATACAGTTATCAGCATACACTAAATCAAATTTGTACCTCATCTATTGGATTCTGTTAATTTATTTTTAAATGTAAGTACTCTAAATATCTTTTTCGGTGTTTGTCAACAAATGGTATTGATCTATTATGTATTTAGCCAACAATTTATTTTCATTAGTTTTCTTTACTTAGTATCTTAACTAGATAGAACAAAAGCAATGCAATTGTTAAGTCTTGTTGTATGCCATCCATTGCAAAAAAAAATATATTTCTAAAAATATAAATCAAATTATAAGAATATGTAAATAAGGTAGCCAATCAATTTATATAAACATAAGAAATAACTAAAAATTCACAAACGCTATTATGCAATATGATAAAATGTCAATAACAGATTTAATATGATCGATACACAAGTAAAACTCTGTTAAATAAAACACAACACACAAGCAAAAAGCGAGTAAAACGTTGCAGTGCATTTATCAAAATAAAAACAAAACATCTATTTTGTAAGCATGCATCATGCATTTAGGTTGTTTAAGTACATTCAAACAACACTTGATTTGAATAGTTAAAACCATACGATTATAATACATTGTTTGTACTAAAAGAGAAAGATTTTTTACAGATGTCATTTGTTCGAAGCGGTTAATCATCAAAAAGCATCAATCCAACACTTTTGAAGGATGTTTCAAAACAAAAACGTTCAAGGCTTTATTACCAAAAAGTACAACTAGTGATAATATACTAATGGTTTCGATACTTAGATATTATTAATAGTCTTTATAATATATTGTCTTAATTTCAAAATTTTCATTTAATATGTTTGCATCCATTTATCAAACTTTTACTTAATTATGACACATCTGCTTTAAAGTTTATTGTAACATGATCTCTATTACAGTTAAGTAAAATACACATGCTGCAATTTTAACATTAGTAGTTCTACATGGACATTTATGGTGTTGGCATCATCTGAAAAGTCTGAATATAAAAACATTTTTTTGCATGCAGTCAATCCTGTCTTATTCAGTTAAGTGTATCAGAAAGTTCAGTTGCTTATATCCAAGTCATGATGAACATCTGATTGATTATTGGCTCATTGGCAACCCTACCACAACTCCTTATTCTGATATGTGTTAGTGTGTACAAGTTCATAGATTTAGAGTGTTTAAATATGTCCATAATGCGTATGCTGTTTCATTTCAAATCTTTAAATGACTTCCGAACGATCATAGTTCCAAGTAATAATTTGTCTATACCTTTTGGTTTTCTAAAATGCATTTATCTCTTCAATGTTTTTGAATTTTAAAAAAAATATTTTTGACATGGGTACCGTTATATTGTTTGTTTACGCTATACCTTCGATTTTCTTTTGTTCCAACGTTTTATTGACCTGGTTAGAGATTTGTATAAAACGTAGACATCTATCTACATTTAAATAAAACAAATCGTCATCTGTTGTATTCTTCTTTTTTTTTTTTTCTTTTTTTTGAAGGTTGCGTATTTGCTACTTTTGTTGCCTTGCCGCATGCCTACATTTTGCTTTATTCATATTTGCCTCCATTGAAAATGTACATTTATGTATGGAGAATGGTCTCACTGGCACTCATACTACATCTTTTTATATATATGCAGTCTTTTAATGCAAATTATGACGAGGTCGTTCTGTAGGAAAATGTATATGAAACATGTGTAAATGTGTTGCCAAAATTAAAGAAATTTTTTTTTGAAATTAATTATCTGTTGGTTGCAATGTATGTTCTGCATTTTGTGATATTTAGTACGGAACTGTTGTTTATTTCAAACAGATGATAACTTACCAACCGTCATCATCTGTGGAGAAATTGTTGTATGCGAAATAGCTGTTTTCTTTGAAGGTGATGTAGGGACAGAATTGCTTGTTGTTGTTTTTAAAGTCTTTGTTTTAGTAGACCTCGTACTAGAAGTCGTATGTAAAGCATACCTCGATGTTGGAGCAGTAGTCTTTTTGTGAGTAGAAGAAGATGTTTGAGTAGAAGTCGTTGTTAGAGCAACATTCATTGTTGGAGCAATAGTCCTTGTTGGAGGAGCCGTTGTCGGTAGAGCAGTAGTCCATCTAGAAGTAGATATATTCGATGGAGTAAAAGTCGTACTTGGAGCAACAGTCGTTGTTGGAGTAGATGTCTTAGTTGAAGAAACAGACATTGTTGGAGTAGAAGTCATTGTTGGTGTTAATTTCGATGTTTGAGTAGAAATCGTTGTCGGAGTAGTCGAATGTGCAGTAGAAGTCTTAATTGACGTAGAAGTCGCTATTTGAGGAGAGGAAGTCGGTTTTGATGCAGTATTCGATGGGGTTGTTGTTATTTTTGGCGACATCGGAATAGAAGCTGCTGTAATAACTGACATAGTTGTTGAAAAAGAAGACGCTTTTGAAGTAGAAGTCACTTGTGGGTTAGAATTTGTTGATGAATAAGTAGCCATTGTTTGAGTAGTTTTCGTTACTGGAGTAGAAGTCGTGTCTGGTATTAATGTCGCTTTTAGAGTAGATGTCGTTGATGGATTTGACATCATCTTTTGATTAGTAGTTGACGTTGATATATTATCAGTTGTTGAGACAGAAATCGTTTTAAGATAAGTATCCGTTGTTCGCATACTTTCCATTGATAGATTAGTAATTGTTGTTGAGCTAATATCCGTTGTTTGGATATTATCCGTTGTTATGATAGTATTTGTTGTTCGAATAGCATTTGTTGTTGGAATAGTATTTGTTGTTAGGATAGTATTTGTTGTTGGGATATAAGTCGTTATTGGATTAGTAGTCGTAATCAGAGTAGATTTTGTAACTGATTGGATTTGTGGTATCAATGTGGTGCTGTCTTCGACTATAATAACCGAAAGCCCTGGTAATTAAAAAGATATTTAACAGTCAAAGGTATATATTAGTCATTTTCAGTTTAATAACAATGTGAGATATATCTTTTTTAAGTACTGGTACATGTGGTAAACACCATAACATTTGAGATCTTAACACTGCTGCTTTGGTAGATTTGTATTGTTCTACCTGCCTAGTGTGGGATGTGCACTTATATTCAGACAAAAAACGCATCGGCATTTTTCTAAAATAAAATTGTTCACTGGGAGATACCAACCGTTGTTAATAAATATTCCGCTTCATCTTTACAAATTTTACGTTATGGTCTTTGATTATTGATTTTATGTACTGAAGTTGTTAATCATTTCTACTACGTTTTATAGCATTCCTTTTATTTGTCGTCGTATATTTACTTTACTAATCATTTAAAATCCTTTTATTTGCCGTCGTATATTTACTTTACTAATCATTTAAATTCCTTTGATGTGGATCGGTATTTATACATCCTGCCGTTCTGTTTTTAAGCTATGATGTGCTTTGTCTATATCATGTATATAGTGTCTACATCCAATTTTGTGTGTATTTGTTTACATAGATGTATGTTTTAATGGTGATTAACATTATAACACAATGTTGACTTCTAAACAAATATTTAAACATTTTACCTACTCTATTTAGAAATAAAAAGATCTGGTATGATTGCCAATGAGATAACTCTACACAAGAGACCCAAATGACACAGAAAATTAACAATATAGGTCACCTACAATAAGCAAAGCCCATACCTTTTTATTTTTATATTTCAATATAATGGATTATATGCATGCGGCTGTTATACAGTTTCACCTAGATATACAAATAGGTTTAAGATATTGTAATAGATATGGATAAAAAACAGAATGAGTTGAATTGCATATTTCAGTCTTGCAATGCGGCTCGGGTTAAAATTGTTCTCGGATAACACAATTTATGTCCTTTCAGTAGAGTTTTTGTTTTATAATTGAATTGCTTGTTGCGGTTTGATTCTACTTTCAGCTATCTTGTCTTTATCGTGGCGGCAACTTTTTACCAGCGGAGGAATTTAGAGCACCAATTAGGAGTTTTGCTCATATCAAACAATCGTTCCACTTCCATAGTTATGATACGCAATAGTTGGTTTATCTGTTCAACATGTTTGAAGCACTTCAACTTTAAGTATGGTGTTAGGACTCAACCATGTAATTCGATTGTATTTTATCAACATTGTTTGGGCCGTATTATGTATTTTTATTCATACCATAAAGTAAAATTCAGAGTAGTAAAAGGGAGTTCATATTGACCACAACGTTCAAGTCAGTTCACATAACATTCTTATTACATTTTACATTCTATAGAAATATTCAATCTAAAGAAACTTACATATCTGGGCAATGAACACGTAAATGACTGAATATGCATTAAATCCCATGTCTATAAAATAAAACAAGAATATATATATAGATAAAATAAAGTAAAGCATGATAAAACAGTAACATTTCTTTTCGAACACCAGTATTGCATTTTGTTATCAATTATTCCAAACTAATATCGGGCTATTGAAATTGTATTTGCTGAATTTAAACGGCGATCGTTGAGAAATCACAATGAATAAATCAAATTATTTGCCAAGTCTTTAGTCAGCAATAACTGGTTGTGTTGTCCTGCCTTTTGCATGTTTTGTTCTCAACAAATTTGATATTTATATAGAATAGTTTCATTATCTCCGTTTTATTGCATTAACAGCTAGTTGTGCACATCAAATACATTTGACCTTTTATGGTTTCAATTCCTGTGTAAGTATAGATGATATTTCGCTATGCGTCTTTGGGTATACATCAGTCTAGTAGCTCTTATTCGTGTATACGAATGACTTGAATACTATATATCATATTTTAATTTCCAATTATTCCATTAACACTTTTGGTGCTTATTGTACCTTTTCATTTTCGGCTTGTATTTTGATAACTTTGACAATATTGATACCGCTCACTAGTTTCATATTTTTTGCTGTTTTGACAAGTTACACGCTTTGTGCGTATAAAACACTCATTTCCAAACATTCCATGTACCTGCGTTCTGAGTTTTTTCACAATATCACAAGCATTATCGTACGTTGCTGTAATGAAACGAATATTCCGTTGTTGGATATTTACTTTTGGTATGAAATCCTCAGATGTTTGCTAATCGTTCATTATTCGTTTTACAGTTGCGAACTTTCAACACAGAAGTAAAGTTTAATGATTTTCATTCCCCCAAAAAAGGTCCAATTTTTAGAAGAGGTCATTTCTTTCCTGGACTAATTGCGTCATCAAATTTAAACATTTATGTTTCAATATAATTCAAAATCAAGTAACAGGCTCATAAAATAAAGTTACCGTTTGCCAAATCAATTGTCAATTTAACTTGAATCTTTCATGAGGAAACCGAATGTAACCCTTATTGCCTGATTATAATACCGTATAGCGGGTTGTTTTCGCGGTGTGTTTATTTTCGCTTATTTTGGCGGGTCAGGAGAAATCGCGAAGATAAATTCCGCGATAATTTATGCATACGTTCGATACTTTCTAAGTTGAAGCGTTTTGTAAACTGTCTATTATTTCCCCTTCGGACGGATCAATCACGGTTTTTGTAAATTTTATACCATAAATGCCAAAGGCGATTGTTCACCGACTGGCTATCATATGTAAATAAGTTAGATACAGAGGCACGTTGTCAGGTATTTTATCCTTAAAATCGCGATATTTTACACCCGCGAAAATAACCCGCTATACGGTAAATCTTAGTCTGGATGATAAGTCTGAAACTTTTTGACTGCTGACATGAATATGTAAACACATATTGTAATTGTCATGAATATGTATCAATAAGATTGAGAATGCAAATGGGGAATGTGTCAAAGAGACAAAAACTCTACCATAGAGCAAACAACAGCCAAAGGCCACTAATGGGTGATGTATGATGTTTAAAATTTGCAAAACAGGCAGCTGTGACCTATTATAAAAGTAAAGTCTACTGTTTTTAGTTCAGTTTACTCATACTAAATGGATGATTTGTAGCGTAAAAAGGGGAAAATTGTATGCACTAACTTTTTACACAATTGCACATTGTCAGAAAACAGTTTATTAAATAATTTTTGTCTAAGTGATGAGGCCACATTTTGTGCGTAAAAAATAACAATAAAATAAAACCAAAACACTCACCGTCTGGTCATTACTGCAATCCTTTCTTTCTTTTCTCTTGAATCACAATTGAATAATGATCTCCTTTTGAAGAGAATTTAAATGATTTGTCTAGGCCCTAAAATCTAGCATAAGAAGACTAAACCTCGCAAATTAAGAAATTTATAACTTATACGCCTTTTTTGAAAAATAAAAAACAATATATTTATGTATGCATGCAGTCTTTACTATCGAAGAGATCCCCTGTGTTTAGCAAACACCTTTGTTTTAAGAAAATTAATGTTAGGATCCTCTGTAGTGTTTTTCATTTGTATTGAAAATATATTAAACGAACCCATATCTTATGACAACACTAATTTGCTGTTCCATACGTGTTCTCTTCAATCAGGTTTCACTGCATATTTTTTAAATCACTGATTTTATCATGTTTTAGGGGTCTTCATTATATAAATAACATTATTAAACTCGACATTTATCAATTGACATTTAACTCAGCGTAAAATAACAATGTATTTATTATAAATAACATTTATCTGTACATACCACGAATCAAATGCAATATTATTTTGATTCCTCTTACCTTTGTCGGACATATACAACAGTCCCCCGGAGTGTAAAGATAATCATTAGAGATAAGTGAAGACAAATATAAAACATTTCATACGATTTGAACCTATTGATTATATTTGAACTCTGTATAGGTTAGCTTTTATCATAGGTATTTTGTAAAAGATAACTCATACAATTCTAAATATTTAATCTGTTTAGTTTTTTTTATTGATATTATTATGATATTGTTCGAATTGTTTGTATTTCGTCATGTTGGGAATTGCAAGGGATAACTTAAGTTGTTAATTTTGCTTGTAACTTAGGAACATGCAATGGTTGTTTAAATCCCTGTTTATTTGAATCTGATTCATATAGTTGTTTCTTTGGAAATCAACTAACATATAAGGTAAACTGTAATAATCATGGACCTTAAATATCATATGTCTACTATGTATGTTATGCACATCGTTCATAAGTTACGTATATATAGTGTATTGTTTAGTAATGTGCATATGCTATATGTAAAATAACTTATTCTCGTGACTTTCGAGAGTAGATAATGAACGCGAATATTTATGCTCGCTGATGTGTTTAGCACTGATCTTCCTGAGCAACCTGTGAAAATGAAACGCAGTAAATATAAAAAAGAAGATGTGGTAGATTGTCAACTCTCCACAAGAGACCAAATGACACAGAAACTTACAACTATAGGTCACCGTAAAGGTCTAAGCGAATAACTAAATATCCGCAAAAAACATGTTAGTTCATAGCATTCACAATTTAAATTATATATCGAATGTACAAGAGTAAAAATAAAAAAAACAAACAAACCCGTAAATTAAATGCAGGTCTGAACGTCTAACGACGATACAACCCAAACGTCCAAAAATTATAAGTTTCTTAAGATGTGTAGAACAACACTGATAAAAAAATTTAAAAAATAAACGAAATCG